TAAGTAAGTTGGCAAAGAAGTTGGCAAATGGATTATAATGTGGGAAAATGTGAAGCTCATTTCAGAAGGGAGAACAAAATAACAGAATTATTTAAATGGAGAAAAACTGCAGAAAGTTGCAACACTAAGGAACTTTGAGGTACTTGTGCATGAAACACAGAAAGCTGGCACATAGGTGCAGCAGGTAATCAGGAAAGCTAATGGAATGTTGGCCCTTATTTCAAGAGGGTTGGACTGAGAGTAGGGAAATCTTACTGCAACTGTGCAAGGTGTGGGGGACACCACATCTGAACACGAACTAGGAGCAGGAGTAGGCCATCTGGCCCTTCGAGCCTGCTCCGCCATTCAATAAGATCATGGCTGATCTTTTCGTGGACTCGGATCCACTTACCCGCGTTCTCACCATATCCCTTAATTCCTTTATTGTTCAAAAAAAATCTACCTTTTTTTTAAAAGCGTTTACTGAAGTGGCGTCAACTACTTCACTGGGCAAGGAATTCCATAGATTAACAACCCTCTGGGTGAAGAAATTCCTTCTCAGTTCAGTCCTAAATCTGCTCCCTCTAATCTTGAGGCTATGCCCTCTTGTCCTAGCTTCACCTGCTCGTGGAAACATCCTCTCTACTTCTATCTTATCTATTCCCTTCATAATTTTATATGTTTCTAGAAGATCCCCCCTCAATCTTCTGAATTCCAATGAATATAATCCCAATCTACTCAGTCTCTCCTCATAAGCCAACCCCCTCAACTCTGGAATCAACCTAGTGAACCTCGTTTGCACCCCCTCCAGTGCCAGTACATCCTTTCTCAAGTAAGGAGACCAGAACTGCACACAGTACTCTAGGTGTGGCCTCACCAGCACCTTGTACAGCTGCAACATAACCTCTCTGCTTTTTATTTCAATCCCTTTAGCAATGAAGGACAAAATTCCATTTGCCTTCCTAATTACTTGTTGTACCTGCAGACCTACCTTCTGTGATTCATGCACAAGGACACCCAGGTCCCTCTGCATAGCAGCATGCTGCAACTTTTTACCATTCAAGTAATAATCCTTTTTACTATTACTCCTTTGGAAGGAGTAACAGGAATACAGAGTACTGGGCTAATGGTAAGATTCTTGGTAGTGTGGATGAGCAGAAAGATCTCGGTGTCCATGTGCATAGATCACTGAAAGTTGCCACCCAGATTGATAGCATTGTTAAGAAGGCGTACTGTATGTTAGGTTTTATTGGTAGAGGGATTGAGTTTTGGAGCCATGAGGTCATGTTGCAGCTGTACAAAACTCTGGTGCGGCCGCACTTGGAGTATTGCGTACAGTTCTGGTCACCGCATAATAGGAAGGATGTGGAAGCATTGGAAAGGGTGCAGAGGAGATTTACCAGGATGTTGCCTGGTATGGAGGGAAGGTCTTATGAGGAAAGGCTGAGGGTTTTGAGGCTGTTTTCATTAGAGAGAAGAAGGTTAAGAGGTGACTTGATAGAGACATACAAGATCATCAGAGGATTAGATAGGGTGGACAGTGGGAGCCTTTTTCCTCGGATGGTGATGGCTAGCACGAGGGGACATAGCTTTAAATTGAGGGGTGATAGATATAGGACAGATGTCAGAGGTAGGTTCTTTACTCAGAGTAGTAAGGGCGTGGAATGCCCTGCCTGCAAAAATAGTAGACTCGCCCACTTTAAGGGCATTTAAATGGTCATTGGATAAACATATGGATGATAATGGAATAGTTTAGGTTAGATGAGCTTCAGATTGGTTTTCACAGGTCGGCGCAACATCGAGGGCCGAAGGGCCTGTACTGCGCTGTAATGTTCTATGTTCTATGACTTCACATTTATTTACATTGTATTCCATCTGCCAGACCTTTGCCCACTCACTCAATGTATCTACGTTCCTCTGCAAAGTTTCACAGTCCTCTGCACACTTTGCTTTGCCACTCATCTTAGTGTCATCTGCAAACTTTGACACCCTACGCGTGGTCCCCAGCTCCAAGTCATCTATATAAATTGTAAATAATTGCGGTCCCAACACCGATCCCTGAGGCACACCAGTAGTCACTGACTGCCAGCTAGAATAGCACTCATTTATCCCCACTCTTTGCTTCCTGTTAGTCAACCAATCCTCTATCCATGCTAATACTTTACCCTTAATGCCATGCATCCTTATCTTATGCAGTAGCCTCTTGTGCAGCACCTTGTCAAAGGCCTTTTGGAAGTCTAGGTACACCACATCCACTGGGTCCCCATTGTCCACCTCGCTTGTAATGTCTTCATAGAATTCCAAAAGATTTGTCAAGCATGACCTGCCCTTCATGAACCCATGCTGCGTCTGCCCAACGGTACAATCTGTGGGGTCCTGAGAGCAGTTTTGGTCCCTTATTTAAGGAAGGATATTATTTCATTGGAGACTGTTCAGAGAAGGTTTACTAGGCTGATCCCTGGTATGGAAGGATTGTCTTCTTAGCCAAGGCTAAACAACTTGAGACTCTACCCACTGGAGCTCAGAAGAATAAGAGGTGATCCATTGAAACATATCGGTTTCTTAAGGGACTTGAGAGGGTAAATGTTGAGAGGATGTTCCCCCTCGTGGGATAGTCTGGGATGAGAGAGCGTAGTCTCAGAATAAAAAGGTGTCAGTTTATGACCGAGATGAAGAGGAATTTCTTCTGAGGCTTGAAAACTCCTTGCCGTAGAGACTTGTGGGAACAGAGCCTTTTTGTATATTGAGGGCTGAGAGAGATTTTTGAACAGTAGGGGAATCGAGTTATGGGAAAAAGGCAGGAAAGTCGATGTGAGAAGTGTCTGATCAGCCATGATCCTGTTCAGTGGTGGAGCAGGCTTGAGGTCTGAACAGCTTACTCCTGTTCCTGTCTCTAATGGTCCCATAGGGCATAGATTTAAAGTGACGAGCAAAACAAGCAAGGGTGTAGTGAGGAAAGACTTACTCACACAGTGAGTAGCTCGGCTATGGAATGCACTGCCTGGAAATGTGAACGCAAATTCAGTTGAGGCATTGAATGATCATTTGGATACAGATAGTGTGCAGAGGTATGGGGAAAAGGCAGGAGATTGACACTGGGTAATGGTGCATGTTTGAAGAGTCATTGCAGGCATGTTTGGCAGAATGGCCTCCTTCTGCATGATAACAATTCTCAGATTCTGTGAAGATCATTGTCGTCACCTCCATTCCCAAACTAACCCACCTTCACCATTTTGTCATCATGTGTCCTTGAATGTATTGAATCCCAGATCTGATCCCATGCCATATTTGAATTGGGTTACAAGACCGGAATTCCTCTTTGAATATATCATAAGCTGAGAAAGGACTGAAGGGTCTAGCCCCGAAATGTCAGCTTTCCTGCCCCTCTGATGCTGCTTGGCCTGCTGTGTTCATCCAGCTCTACACCTTGTTATCTTAAAGGACTATCCTCACTGGTTTATGTTACTGGTACGGTGGTAGTGTTGCTACCTCCTGAGCCAGGAGATCTGGGTTCAAGTCCTACCTGCTCCAGAGATGTGTAATAACATCCTTTAATGGGTTGATTAGAAAATATTATACGAGTCATCCAAGTTCTTGCGTTTTCAGGTAGCTGTTGGTATAATAACTTGAAAAAACTTTCTTTTTGCCGATTGTATTTTTCAAGGTCCATTATATTTGGTATCCATATGAAGGATTACTGTATATATCATTAATAACAATGTGATAAATATGGTTAAAACCTCATTGGATAAACATAAATAACCAGTGTTTATTTTAAAAGTTTCAGCATTTCTGTAGCATACGTATTCTGAGTTCTGAGTCAATGACCTGTTAAAGGGAGCCATTTTGAGGGTGAACCATCCTTTGATGTTCTGGGATAAGTTATTCTGACTCTTTTGTGATGCCTTGTTAGTCAAGGAAGACTGGATTCTTAGACTATCTGATCTTCTGCTTTCACCTCAAGATATGGCTGATGTGGATGATCATATTTGGCACAGCGGCATAAAAGCATGGCTGTTCAGAAGTTGGCAAGTGCTGTAGAATTAGTTTTCTGTCAATCTGTAGTGGCAACTCTAGTTCCTTTTGACAATGTTATGTTTGAAAGCCTGCAAAACAGTGAAAAATATTTATTTGTATCAAAACATAACAAAATCTTAATAGGGTTTTGACGATGCCATTGATTCCATTGAGCGTTGGTAGATTTTGGATATCTTTTACAAGCTTGTTGGGTCAATGTAATAGTGGTTTCTTGACTTTAGTTATGAACAAGCCAGTGATGCAATCTTTAATGTATAGTTTTCTGTGAGCTGAGGTGCTTTGTTTGTTGGCCCTCAAACAGCATACTGTCAGAGTAATTTGAGTGACGTGAGTGTTGAAGTAACAGCATCTAATGCA